TACACACAAGGAACAACAAAAGGAAGTATCATTTTAGCCAAACTGGTTTTCAACTTGAAGTAGCACAAATAAAACACACCACAAAAAACAAGGACAATTTTCAACAAGATGAGAAGAGCACTGAGATCAAGAAGTGAAGATACATTCAAAATATGGACAGTTTTAGAAGATGTATAAACGCGTTCCTCATCTTTACCATCGCCTTATTTCTCTCTGATCTACCTTTCTAGGCTAGGATTCACGCTAGAATCAAGTCTTGGGCAAAGAATTTAAAACAGACGTTTCATTACTATCATGTTTCTCCTATTCAGTCTTCAAGCAGATAGGAACCTCCTTCTTGGTTTCCACCAACACTGATTTCTTTGACTTTTGTGTCCTTGACCATGTCTCCTAAACCTGGAAACTGCTTCCTACATCTTATCAGAAGTGAAAGCTGCCTGGGAAAGTTACCCTTGCTATCCTTTCTTGTGCCCAGTTTATTCAAAAGTACTTTAAACACATTAATCTACTTCCTTAAACTCACTTTCTTTACTGAGCTATTTACACACTGGGGGAAAAACACCAGTCCACCTCATTTGGGACTCTGCAGCATACACAGTAGCTATGGCTAGACAATTTAAGGCAGGCAACTGGCAAACTTTTATTTTTCCTCAGCTGACTGCAGACAAACAGCAACCAACTCAATACATGCAAAATGAATATCATAAAGTACTATTTAAAAATACCTGAAAATATTTCAGGAATCACTATTTCAGAAACCAGTCTTGTTAAAACCTGAACAAATGAAAGACTTAAAGGCCTCTACATTTTACATGATAATGTAAGTTCACATTTCCAAGTATCTAAAAGCAGGAGAGTTACAAAAGTATAAGACTGAAACCAAAAAATACAAGAAAAAGCTGTAAACTCCACTTGTCCACATCTATTATATTTTTTCCAAGGAAAAAACTCTAATTTTCAGATCCATCAGGTTCTTTTCCTTACTTTAATCTTATTAAATCTACAGTTCACACTGGTTTTGCATCTTACACTAAGATGCTGTAGAAGCACCAATAAAAGTCTACCTTCCTGAGGCTAACAACAGTTTCTTTACTACAAATTTTATATACTTAGAAAAACACTTATGAATGGTAAGAAAATTGAGTTAAGTTCCAGATCAAACAAATGACTTGAACTTTTGTCTCCCCCACTTATATTTTGAAGAGCTGTTTTCTTTCAAACCTTGAAACAAAATGACTCCCAAACCCCATGAAATGCTATTAAAGTAGTGGGGGAAGGCACTGCCACATTGGGGTGTTGAAGCTCTACCTTACACGCTGTACCAGGATAATGAGGTGAATTCTTAGGAGTCATCCTGAGAAAAGCTCTGGCACTAGGTCTGTCACCAAGATCACCAGCTCTTCCTTATGACCTCCTAAACTTAGAAAGCAGTCCTGAGCAAACCCATGGCTCTCCCTTGCTGAGATAAGCAAGACAAGCAATGAAATGAACTGAGGCAGCCCACCACAGATCTGACTGCATATTCCAGCTTTTCTTTGTCCCTTGTCACAAACCAATGTGATACACAGGATTTCAAACACCTCATAGATGCAGGTTTGTGCACTCATGAATAGTAAAGGATGACAAACCCCAGACTTTGAAAGAAAGACAAAGAATCCACCTCTGTCTAGACACAAATACATGAAACAAACTGGTCAGGTGCCTTTGCCAGGCCTTCAACGAGCAAATCAAAAGAAGTGAAGAAGAAAGACATGCTAAGCAGGGTATTTTGTGAGGCATTCACAGATTCTGAAATCTCTGTAGTGCCATGTTTTAAACCTTCAGCAAACAAGTGCCCAGAAAAAAATCAAAATGGATAAAAATATGTATTTTGGAACAGGTCAGTGAAGTATGTCCACACGAGCTTTACTAATGCAATCACAAGTCCAGTGAAGCCAAATGGACATCTCAACTGGTAAACAGAATAATAAGAAACACTGTCATATCCAGTTAAAGCAGATTTGCAAACAATAGGCAGCCTAACTAATGAGAAACATGGATGTAGCTTACAAAGGTAAGAACAGGACCAACATATTCTCCAAAAACTGAAAGATCTAAACCAATGGACTATATCACCAAAAGCTGGTTACAATTCAAATATGCATTTTTACATGAACAGAAGGAAAAGAAAATGTACTTTCCCAGTAAAGATGTCAGTGCTGCAGACCACATCACAAACTAGTTCCTCATGCCAAAAGAACTTCCAAAAAGACAGAAATCCCCTACCAAGCAAACAACAACAAACCCAAAGCAAATTAGGTGGCAAACAGAGGAAAAAGCATACAGCTTTGTTTTATTTAAACTATTTTTCTGAGCACATAGCTGCACTTGCATGGCCAACAGATTTCAGAACATGTGAAGAGAGTTTTTCTTTTAAAATGCAGGAACATCCCACTGAAAGAAGCCCAAATGAAAAGAAGCACAAGATACTGCAAATATCAACATATACTTTTGATTAATTAATTTACCTTTCATTCTAAACTTTTTAAAAGTAACTCACACAAAGATGAGCTTTTCCACTACCACACAAGACAACCAAGACCCTATACTTCTCTCTGCTTTCTTAATCTTAGCAACAAGTTAAAAATTAGTGGAGAAATTATTACCAAGCACCACAGCCTGGACACAAGCAAACATAGGATTACTTGGGCTCCAAGCCAGTTCCACATAAACTCCCTGAGTAATCATTACACTTCTTTGTATTGAGGAACAGAGAACTACAGAAGAGGTTGGTCCTTATTTTTCCAAAAACTAAACTAAACTAAACTAACATAAAAAGCAAAGAAATCCCTGGTGTGATAGTGGGATAAAAAAGTCCAATTCCATCTATCTATTCCTCTACAATCACAGTTGTGCCTTTACTCAGCTCTCCCTGGGGATATCACACGAAGGATAAAAGAGAATAACAAAATCAGCATCATTATTTGTGGAACTGAATTAACTGAGCTAGACCATACCTTGGACCGGGTTCCTGACATGGAGGGAATAAACCTGATGCCTTGGGAGTGGATGCTGGGGGGATGCTGATGGAGTCATTCCATGATAGGTCATGTCCCAGTCGCAACTGGACCCCTGCCCTCGGTACCCCTATACATTGTGAAGTTCACCACGCCCTTGGGTGTTTTGAGCTTGCCCCCAGGACCTGCAGTTTCTGCAATGTGTTGTTTTACCACCATTAAAGCTTTTCGGGCAAATCCATCATTCCTGTCCCTCTATTTTGCCAGACCAGTCCCAGGGTCACAGAGACTGGGACAACTCTTCACTGGCTGACTGCTGGACTACACAAAGAAAGTTTCTCAATGGCTTCAGCAATGACTGAGTAGAAAATACACAAAATAGCACTCTATTCAAACTCCTCTCTCTGCATTACCATGAAACACGTGCAACGTGGGATCTAAATGTTATTTGCAGAATTTGTAAAAATCAGTAGGGAAGATTGAGTGCAGCCCATGAAAAGAAGGGGTCGAAACAGAAACTGCAACACCAGAGATGCTCATTCTTCAAAAAGTTTGTAGTTAAGTAATTCCATTGTAAACATTTGTGCAAAACTTGAAAATATACTGATGACAAAGGTGAGGCACCATCACCCTGAGCACAGGGGATGAGCAAGGTACTGGACAAAAAGAAATGAAACTGAAATAACAAAAACAGGATGAAATTCAATACAGTGAAACATAAACTTGAACAGCTCAACCAGGACTTCAGTTAGAAGAAATTACTAGACAGGAATGAGTTGATCACAAAATTACTGTAAGCCAAAAACAAAGGGGCAAAAACCTTTCAGCAGCGAGACTTTTAAAAAAAAGTATTCAATTTTGAGTATTTCAATTCTTATTGTCATTTTTAATACATACACACGCAAACAAATGTTTTAATGTTTTCAAGCTCATCTAGAGCTTAATACTGTCAGGTTCACTCATTTTGAATAGTCTTATTTTGAAAGCAAGAACACTGAAATTAAGTAAATTATTCAAAACAAAGCATTTACCTAATATGAATACAAGAAGGTGCAAAGAAAGGTGTATTCTATGGCTTGTATTGAAAGACTGATGTAAAGCATCATTTTAGTCAAAATGATGGAGAACATCTACTGGTACCTTATGCCAAATTCTGTGCTCTATTATAATGCACATAAAGTGAGAATACTCAAGTGAAAAAAGGCCTAAGCATAACCATGGGAAAACCACAAAAAAATTACAAAGATTTGTTTATATCATGGCTGATTTAATATAAAAAATAAAATCATTATTAAAAATCCATCTTGGGCATTATTAAATATGACATGTGGTAAAACCAATGTGAAATATATCTCCAATATTTCAAAATGGTAGCAGAATATGACACCAGAACAAGTTCATCTTTTTCAAAAGTAATTAACTTTTCCAAAGACATTACTACTTCACTTTAAAATATTAATATTTATCTAAAAATTTATTTATTATTAGATTAAGTATTTCTATGAGTATTTAGAGTATCAACCTAAGTTTCATAGCAAACACCAGCTTTTTTATACTAACCTGCTTTTTGAAACTGGCATGAAAGTAATTCAGTAATAGTAATTTTTAGTATATTTGAGTCATGTAATTTCAGGATATAAATTGGTACAATAAATATTTCCTCTATAAGAGTATTTACTGATTAAATTCAACTTTTCTTTTTTCTCTAATTTGTTTTGGTCAGTCTGGTTCTTTCTACCTTCCTACCTATTCTAGTTACCTCAAAACTAATTAATGATATATTCCATGCAACTCCAGGAAACTTTTTAATAAATTGCAACAGAAGTTTTTAGCACGAGGATCTGCCCAAGGAAACCTTATTATCCTTATAAATGGGAGCTCAGAGATCCATACCTGGATATTTTTAGTCACACTTGCATTTGTCTTTTGTATGCATTTATCTTTTTATCAACCCTACCCACCCTGTTTTCTTACAGACTTGAGCATTCAAGTGTTTTTACTCACTTCTGTGCTCCCTGAGACAACAGCTTTGTCCACGTTCAGCGATACCTGCTCTTCAGTCTGGCAGACTCCCACAGACCACTCCGCACAGCGGTGATGAGCCCAGCAGTGACCTGGTGTGTGCAGAGAGAGAAAGGGCCAGGGTTGGACAGCTCTGTCAAGCACTTCCTCCAAGTATGGAACTCACCTCTGGCAGTAAATACTTGCCAGAAAAAACAGAGAATTCTTCTCCCCCTTTTTATTTTTCTTGTTGCAGCACCGAAAACCCGTATTAACATACACTGAATATATTGCAGTTACTCTCAGACACTAAAAACACTGCAATTTTGTTTTATATACAATACACTTTTTTTATCTGTTTATAGATTTTAAGTGCCTGATCAGGTAATCATAGCACTGGGGTGCACAGCATTCCTTGACTTTGATTCTACATTCAATGCTTGTGTGACACACACAGACACAAAGAGTTCCATTTGACCTCATATATCACTGCACATAACATTTCCCTAGGTTTGTACTCTTTTAATTTATGATTCCCAAGGACAGGATATCTGTGTGTTCATGTAGAATATGCTCATATGATGTTTTAGAAATCTACACAAAGTGTTTAAAAGCTCAAATATAGCATGAATAGAAACTCATATAAATGACTGAGAAAATGGCATCAATACAACAAACACAGTATTAGAGATGCAAATACCTAATAAAAAAAAAATCAGAATTTATAGAATTCAAAATGTAACTTTTACAAGAAGTTTCTAATTCAATTCTGGGAAAAAAAAATGCAAATTATGTATACTTCCAATGGAATTCTCTGACTGCTTTATACAGGAATTAGAAATGATGGTTTACACTAGTTCTTGAAATTAGTTATCAGCCAACTTAATAATTCAAGCTACAAAAAAACAATCCCAAAAAAATCTCTGTACGGTTTTGGTAAGAGTTATTTACAAATAATAGAAACTTTAAAAATGTAGATTGATAAAGCTTCGCCCACCCATTTATACACACTATAGTAAAACTATTTAAACAAAACCATTGGATTTAATTTTTTCCTTTTAATTAGACCTTGAAACAAGTTTCCATACTCATGAAAGACTGGCATTTTTGTTATTACATAAATGTATTTCTATTTTTTGGAGCAAAATATGTGAATGGACTACTGGAATCGAAGCATTTGGACACAGATGCCTCCTGAAAAAGTAATTAATAACTTAATTATAGAGAAGTTCAATTGAAATGAAAGAGCAGATGATAAACCAGACATTTTTCTGACAGAAAACCTGCATATTCTGGAAACATGCACATGCATTATGCCTCTACTGCTCTAATGATGCTGCTCTTTTAAATCTTCTGTTCCATTGTTTCCAATAATACCTGCAGCAGGAGATCAGGTAACATCATAGGATTAAGATTTTTGAGAATTATATTAAGCTGTGCCTCATTCCTTTTCCCTATTCTCCCCGAAACAGAATCATGGTACTGAAGGTATTACTACTTGAACACCAGTTCTGCAGCAGATTACAAACATTTTCCACACAAAGCTGAGGATTCTCTTTTCTGGAGAGAAGACTAAAAAACCACAATCTGACATGGGCAAAAGCTACCAAAACACCACCAAAAACTGGACAAACACCACAGCCACAAAAAAACCAACAGCTGGAAAATTTCACTCATGTCACTGTGGCTACTGTACTGCTACTGGACAGGGAGAAAAAGGTAACAATGGATCTTACCTGTTGGCTCAAATAAGGCTTGAACATCAATGTCATCTGGTAAGCCAACTAAACTGAGTTCATCCCAGAATTTGACAACCTGATCGTCAGAAGCAGTTTGGGTGCTTACACTTGTACATGATGCTATACTCGATCGAGATCTGTATCAGGAAGCAGAAAAACAAATTCAGAAGTGACCACATTCTTTGTTCAACTAGCCAGATACTAACAAACAATCCAAAACTCACAGCGAGTAAAATGTTTTCCTAATATGATAAAAAATAAATTAACACGAACTAAAGTCCTGCGTATACTTTATCCCAACACTTTCCCCAGTAACAGTTTCCAGTTCAAGCTGCTGTTCAGTAAACAAGCCTGCTCTCTTCCAATTCCTCAGGATACACACGCTTCTTTAAGTTTGATTCTATATACATTAAAACTTGCTCAACCCTTGGAACTGAGAATGAGGTAACAACATTCAGAAGTGAGGTGCTTATAGAAAATACTCCAGCTGTGGGGGGAAGGTAGAAAAAAGACCAGGACTTCAAAATCTGTTTGGAAATAAACATCTTTATACAATGCCATCAGATGTTAGGTGGGGGGGAGGCAGAGGAAAAGGGGGGGGGAGGGAAGGGGAGAGAGATTAAAAAATGCAGTGATATAAAGATACTATATTGTACTAGTTTATAACCTTATTAAATTGTTCCCCAAATTCTAATCTCAACAGAAAACAATTCACACAACTCAGATTACTGCATTTTAAAAAACATTAGCGATGACTCTACATTTCCTGCAGGCTAAAGAATATCTTAGACATCTAAGGGTGTGCAGTTAGGCCTACTGATAAGAGACCTGATCACTGATACCTCAACAATTGGTAGGAAAGGTGGTGCTGCATTTTCCATTAAGATTCTTTGAACTTGATTATTCTCTGCTATTAATAACTCAATTGTATGCATTTGTCAATAGATACAGTAACCACTGGAACCTGTGATAATTGTGCTTTCCTGAAAACTTTGCTCTGGTTCAGTCATTACATTCATAAATACATTTTAAAACCCCTTAGTTTATAGGAAAAAGAGTAACATCTCTCTTGTACCACCCAGGAAAACTTAAAAGTTTTTTATTATTACATGGTAACTTCATGACCTGCGTAATTTTTTAAAAAAAATCGACCCCAAAACCTATTAATTGTGACACTATCAACATCTAAAACACCCTTAAAAAGCAGTATGTTCTGTTTGACAAAACTGGTTCCTCAACACCATTCATGTCCACTGGAATTACAGAATAGTTTGGATTGGAAAGGATTTTGTTCCAACCCTCCTACAATGGCCAGAGACATCTTCCACTCTCCCAGGTTGCTCTAAGGTCTGTCCAACCTGCCCTTGAACACTTTGAAGGAGGGAGCACCAACAACTATTCTGGGCAGCCTGTGCCAACACTTCACCCCCATGAACATGGAGCCTCCTCTACCACCAAACTGCTACTCACAACACTGAAGCTTAAAGGATCTTTAAGAAAAACTAAATCCCAACTGACAAGGCATTTTTCTGCATAAAAAAGCTTTCTCACACTATCAAACCAATCCATTTACAGAACTTCTCAATTTACTCTGCAATCTCACCCTGCAGAGAAACACTTTACACAGACTTCTCTGAAAATATTACTTCATATACCTATAGAATACAGCCTGAGGCGAGGGTGTTACTTTTACTAGCTTCAAGAAAAGCCACTTTTCTGTATCAGCATTACACAATGTGCACTTTTCCACCACCAACACGATGACAAAAACATACAATGTGCACCCAAGCAACCTCAGTGAGTGCAGAACACTCTCAGAAGCTTCTGCAGCAGCAGCACAGCCACAGACAGGTCTGACTCAGGGAGTCTGGCAGAGCCAGCAGCTGCCTCCCTCACTGTTTCCCTCCCGGGCTGGGAGTCAATCCCCCAATGCCCTGTCTTGCTCCACATCGCTCGTGGCTCTGCATCCCTGCCCCACATCATCACCACTCCACACTGCCCATGCTTCTGCATCACGATCCCACCCTCCACCCCTCATCTTCGCCTGGCCCACAGCTCCGCCTCACCATCCTGCACCACTGTAACACATCACCCTTCAGCATTACTGTAACACAGCACCCTACAGCACCACTGTAACACATCACCATCCTGCAGCACTGTAACACAGCACCACCCTGCACCACTGTAACACAGCACCATCCTGCACCACTGTAACACAGCACCATCCTGCACCACTGTAACACAGCACCACCCTGCACCACTGTAACACAGCACCATCCTGCACCACTGTAACACATCACCATCCTGCACCACTGTAACACAGCACCATCCTGCAGCACTGTAACACAGCACCACCCTGCACCACTGTAACACATCACCATCCCACACCACTGTAACACAGCTTCGCCTGGCGCACCACTGTAACACACACCATCCTGCACCACTGTAACACAGCACCCTTCAGCATTACTGTAACACATCACCATCCCACACCACTGTAACACATCACCATCCCGCACCACTGTAACACATCACCATCCTGCACCACTGTAACACAGCACCCTTCAGCACCACTGTAACACATCACCATCCCACACCACTGTAACACATCACCATCCCACATCACTGTAACACAGCACCATCAGGCACCACTGTAACACATTACCATCCAGAATCATTGTAACACATCACCATCCCACATCACTCCTTGCCCTCTGCCCCACAATGCCCTCAACAACACATCACCAACCCACATCACCAGTACCGCCCTTGACACTGCACCACCCTCAACCCCACACTGCCCACTGCTCCACCTCACCACAGTGCCCTCAACCCTGCACCACCCACAGCCCTGCACCACCCACAGCCCTGCACCACCCACACACAGCCCCTTCACCACCCACAGCCCCTCACTGCCCTCAACCCTGTGCCTCCCACAGCCCCTCACTGCCCTTCACCCCTCACTGCCCTCAACCCTGTGCCTCCCACAGCCCCTCACTGCCCTTCACCCCTCACTACCCTCAACCCTGTGCCTCCCACAGCCCCTCACCACCCTCAATCCCACACCACCCACAGCTTCTCACTACCCTCAACCCCACAATGCCCAAAGCATAGCTGTGGCCTGTAGCCCTGCGTCGTCACTGGCTCCCCTCATGCTTCTCTATGTTGCAGCTGCTCTGTCACACAGACAGCACTGAATAATCCCACATTCACCATCAATCCTGAATGAATCCAAGTCAACACAAGTCCCCAGTGACAGGACCCCCATGCCCATGACAACATGGCCCTGATCAGCCCCATCCCAGTGCCCTCGCCAGACACACCATGTACTGAGCACCCTCCACTGTGGGGCCAGAAATGCCCCTGCCATCCCCCACAGTCACTGAGAGGCCTGGGGACCATGAGCAAAGCCCCCTGTCTAGGAGAGCTGCCAGCAAACCCCACTCCTGCAGGGCAGGAGCCACGGCTGTGTGCCCTCAACAGCACAGGCACCATGGCAAGAGCCAGCGCTGGATGGCAAGAGGAGAGGCTCCAATCGGGGGGCAGAGGCTACCCATTATTCCAGGCTACACAACACATGAAGCGTCAGAAATCCATACTCTTCCACCCTTTATGTGTACTTTTACTTCAGCATCACAAGTAGATCTGTGCTTTACAGTAGCTATGTCTCTTTTCTGTGTTCTTCCAGAGTGAAGATTCTCACTTGGGAAAGAAACAAACCCATTTTTAAAAAGCACAAGAGACAGCCACTGCTATACTGCTCACGTGTTGGTTGCTCTGGGGCTGTTTTTAGTTCAGTTTTTGTATGCATTGATTTTTTTCACAAACATTAATATTAAAAACCCACATCACACAAATACATGGTAGTTGCCTATTGTAGTACAGAACCAGTAAAGATCCTTCCTGAATTTTGTGCAAAATAAAAAATCTGCATATTTACTGTAGGACAGACTTACTTCTTCTGGCCTCTCTGTTTGCGTGGCACTGAGTTTTGCCTTGGAGTTCTCTCACAAGCTCCATCGGTGCTGTCGCTGGCTTCACTCTTATTTAAAGGCTGATTTTTCCATGGGATAACATACCCAGGAGTGGGACCGAATTGTTTTAAGTCTCCTTGTCCTAATGAGCTCCGTTCTCCACAGTAACAAAAGGCGCAGAGTTGTTCGCTGTAAAGGGAAGATCATTACTTCTTTATTAGGGGAAAACCAGCAGAGGATACTCCATGGAAGAGTAAATTTCATGCTAATTTAACCCTTTATAATAAGACAATAAAATCTCCTACATGCTGTCAGGTATCAGAATTCAGCATTCAGAAACACTATTTCCAGCTAATTAGCAGTTACATTAAAATAACTTTTTTTTTCTGTTCACAAAACTGCCTGATTAACAAAGCAAACAAAAAAATGTCCATGTTATATTCAAATTATTAGAATTTCCAAAATTCTGTGTGTCTAGACACATGCTTGCTAAAAGGCATCAAAATGCTACAGAACACATACATTACATTATAGAACATTATAACACATACACCTTTCTGGAAGCACATACAGTTTATGTTTAACACAATGTGCAAATACTATGCTCTAAAAGGTTTACTAAAATGGAGAAAAATGGAATAACGAGAAGACCACAGCAGTGGCTACAGTCACACATGCCAAAGCACACCACATACACAAATCCAACCATCCTCATTTACTTCAATATTTAAAGACAAAATGATGTCTAAAAGTTTTACTGGAAGAATTTTATATTTACAGAACTGTGACCGCTGCAATACCCCGTACCATTTGCAATTATGTTTTAACATGCACAACATAGTGACAGGATTGAAATGACAGCTCTGACAGCACTCCTTGTGTCACATCATATGGAAGCTACTGAAAAATATTTCTATAATAAACATACCCACAAACTTAAAATGTGAACTTCTGCAACTAATGCAGTTTGCATTAAAGGAAGGCCATTTAACACTTCTTTTTTTTTTTTTTTAATGCTTAAATGAGCAATTCTGTTTTCTTCGTATTTCTGCCCCAAAGACCCCAAAAAGATGCCTCAGGGAATCAGGCACTTGGAGAGAGGCTTAGTTATGTCTGGATTCCATTTAAATAGATTTCAGTGCATCTCCAAGGTGGCACATTTGGATTTGGGACACTCTGTGCTCTGTGAGTGAGAGGAGGAAAGTGAAGTGGGAGGAAGAGAAAACCTTAAGGCTAAACTGCTGTAAAATATTTACTAAATTCTGGGGGAAAAAATAAAGCCTCCTGTGCTTTTCAGCCTGAAGAGACAAGAACAGCAAGAGAAAAAAGTGTAAGTGGAAAAGGAAAGTTCCAGATCAGAAGAGAAAACCCTGAGAATCCAACAAAGCCGCTGATATTTGGTTTATCATACTCTGGGATGGCTCCTCTTGCTCTCACCATAGAGAAACAATAGGAACAAAGAAAAAGAAGAAAAAAACCTGAAGTTGTCTACTACTGCTGGTAATACCAGACAGTCAGATGTGAAGGAAAGGAGAAGAGTTTCATGAGCCCAAAATGAAGCCAGAATGAAGCCAAATGCTTTTATTTATGGTTGACAGGTAGGACTGCACTTTCATTAAGGCAGATGGACCACTGAGAATATGCAGGTTGGTGGGCAGATAAATTAAATCCCATTCATGGTTCTGAAATTACACCTTCCTATGGTACTGTTAGGAAACATTTGTCCTCATCTCATGGCCTCGGCTGCACACCCCTCACTGATCTGCCTCAACACACAACCAGAATGAGCCAGCACAACCCCCGGAGCTGATGGCAAATGTCTGACACGTTCCAGAAATCTTTAGAAAGAGATGTCCAAAGACAAAAAAATCCAAAGAAAATATGGATAAAGGTAGTGTGAGAGCAGTAAAAAATGAGGAGTTACACTAAACAGTATGTAAGTCTATTTCACAGCTAGCTTTCAGTGTGATAGAGCAACCAATACACTATTATTTGTCTGTCAGTGACTGTAACCACTGGACTGCCAGTGAAACCTGATCTGGCCTCACAAGCAGAGTTACTAAGCAGGGAAAGCAAAACTATTTATGCTGGTTGAGACTAGAGAGACTTGTGAGGAGAATTAAGAGATTTAAACAGGCAACACCATGGTATATAAATTACACTAGTTACACACCCAAGATTATCCACAGTGGAATAAATAATTATTCATACATTCTGTTAGGACAGACTATCACTGCTCATTAAAAGACTTGAGGATAATTACAAACAAATAAACAACGCTCTTTAAAGTGGAGTCATAGCAAATATGCAATAATATTAAAGTCTATAAAAGAGAAATATGAAACAGTAATTAAGAAAAAAAAAACAAACTAACTTTTCAAGTGGTATTATTTGAAAAGGCATACAGGAGTAAAGCTGGTATTTCTGGAGCCTGTAAGGCAGCTCCAGCATCACAACTTCCAGCAGTAGCTTTCTGCAAGCAGAGTGGAGTGAAACAACAGGAGCAGTGAGTTTCACAGCTACTCTGCAGCGTGGTGCAGACAGCTGTGGAGCTGTCAAGAATCATATGGCTTGTGCTACTGCTCCTGCTCCAGCAGAGCTGGGGAATGCAGCTGAACCGAGTGCTCACCATGGGGTGGGGGCTGGGGGAGCCTTCACTGAAGGCTGTTTGCACATGGATGCAGAAGTTAAAGACAGGAGCAGCAGAACGTGCCCAGAGCACTGCCAGAACACTGTGGGGCTGAGATACAGGGGAGAGATTATACAGAGGGGGAAAAAAGGTTTCACAATTGCCAAGGGGGTAAGCAGAGGGGCTTCAACTGTACCCACAGCCAGACACTCAAAAACACTCAGTGGCAGTCAACTCCCAGCCTCCTCTGGGATGCTGGAGAGACCCTCTGCAGGAAAGCCACGCTGCTCTGCCTCCTGACATGCCACAGCTGCTGGCTTGTCATGCCGTATACAAAGTGGCCATTTCCATCATGTTAGCCTTTTAGCTTTAAGTGCTCAGTAAATATTTTAAGTTATGTCTGTATGGGCAGAAGGTAGAGATTTTTTCCTATCATTCGAGGACTGCAGAAAGTACTTAACAAATCTACTTTCCATATGTCAATATGCAATTAGAGGATCTAAATCTGTGATGCAAGAAGAACTCTCATATTGAAGATAACGAAATAGAGTTACTGGCAAATCTTAAGATCAAACCCTAGATCTGTTATCATAATTAACATATTTTAAGAACAGGATAATTCAAAATGGGATAAAAAGCAAGAGACGATGTGTCACAAATCTTTTTATAAGATACTAAGAAAAAAGAAGCTCATCAGTACTCAAATCATTTAAGATATATCTTAGGCTCTCCCAAAATGTAAGTTCATCATTATCTATAACTTCAATTTAAATTACATATTTTCCCATGACAAATGCTACTTTCTTATAAAAGTTTAAAGATCCAGAGGTGGTTTATTACCAGGAGGTGCTCCTATACCTCACCTCATCCCAGAGGATTTCACAGATTTAAGCACAGAAAATTTAATACATAACACTGAGGAAAAACTGTGCTCAGAATGAACCAGACATACTGGGTTTTGGGGATGCAGTAAGAGGCAGAAAAACTAATAATGTCTGAAGCTAATGTCTGTTCCCACAGGAGGAGATCCAGACTTGGATCTTGTTTGAAGGATGCCCTTTCTAACAAGAAACATGTTGATCCCATCACTCTTTCACAGCCATTCTCTTTTACAGGTTCTTATTTCATCAGGTCAGTGTCTCTTCTTCACGCATTCACTCAACCCCCTGACAAAAATCTAAAGTGCTATAATCCTCCCCTGTCCACATCCTGACAAAGGATAACAAAATGTCCTGCAGCCACTTAATCCTGAAGGAAAGGAGACCAGTCACTATTTCCTCTACTTGACTGATGACAGGCATCAGGACTCATCCTAAAACATAGACTTTCCCACTGAAACAACTTCATTTCAACACATGCAGTATTGGGCAACTAATTGCACAATATTAAATCACAACCAGAGGAGGAGAAACATCTGGTTTGCTTGCAAATATTCAGTCAGAGAATTAAGGTAAACCTGAGAGTCCCTTAAACTTATTTATTAACAGAATTAAGCCGTAGCATCAGGATTACCAACACCTGTAGTTGTACTTCCAGGAGTAGCAGAAGCCCCTCCTGAATCTTTCTGAGCTGGGAAATGGCACTGGCTAATCCTGTGTCAGGCAAAGCTCCTAGATAACAAGCAGACGTGGAGACTGGCTCATGCAAACATATTTTGTTTATGCTGTGGCCCGTATCTCACAGATGTGCACTCGTGAGCACTGTGCGGCTTCTGGAAATCTTCAGATGTGTCCACGGGAGGTTGTGTGACCCTCAAGAGTATCTCACTCTCACTCTCCTGCCTGTTTTTCATACATGGGTAGAATGCACCACAAGCTACAGTGATATGGGGCACGTCATGCTCCCACATCTCCATGTATACAGCTGGGGGAATAAATCTTTATTCCTCATTCTCACAGGAATAACTTCCTTCCTTCCATGTGTCCAGGGCTCCCACACAGCTGAATGCCAAGCCAGACAGTGAGTGGCCTATGCTGAGCACATCTGTCAGTGAGATGCTTGAAGTTATCCAACACTTTGTACTCAATGGTGAGGGTGGCAGGCTAAAGCAAATCTGAAGAGGGGTGTTAAAGGTGCCCTTCTTTCAGGAGAGCCTGCACAGGGGAATCCAAGCATCACACAGAGATGAAGAGGAGGATATCAACAGCAGGAGAAATTCAAACTCTTGGATTCAGATCAAGGGATGCTCACCTTGTAACTTTTCTGAAATTCCTCCCAACCTATTGTGGGGCTGATATTACCAGAAGAGTTTTGCTGTGCATTCACCTTTCCCAATTAATCATACTAAAACCAGGTTTAAACAGGAAAAAACAATGGACTATATTTGAGAAAATGCAAGGCATGGCAATTCTAGTAAGATCCACTAGCTATAGCCATTGCCTCAACATTAAACACTCAAGTTGCAGATGATCACTACTGCCATTTGCCATGATAACAATTGCACTAAAGTTAAAAAGAAGCCCAACTCAGAAAGCATCAAGATCTCTTTCATTCAGGATTTGGGTTGAAAAAGAAAGTGAAGAGGGTATCATGCGACTTTTGCTACAAATTTGTCTTAGTG